TAAGGTATAACATAACTTAGAACTTATGATTTATAAATAAATATAATATATGGCTTATACCATATATATTATGTCATAAATTATAACGTATATATTGTTATTATAATATATGTACATATATTTCTGTACGTTTATAATTTTAACCAAATATTTCAATTTTATTTTTTGTGTTTTAATTATTTTTAGCTTCTGATCCAACTGATGTTGGATCAATGTCAATCTTGTTACTGATTTTATGACTTTGCTTAAATCAGTGGGTAACTTTATAGGCACACTGAATCGGAACATTTTATAGCATTCAAGTTGAACATTTATTTTGTTTGTACAAGTTATTGTTTACTTGTGGATATATCAAATCCAATCTTATAATGCTAATATTATAACATCAACTTCTTTGATATTCTCCCTCTTCATGCATATTGTGGTTTACTATCAAATTCGTGATTATCTGATCTTTTCATGAAATATAGGTTTTTCGATAGATGTAAAAAAATTATATTGGAAATAGTGCCATTGGTTGCCATAAGAATATGATCTTTTCATTAAGTATTGGTTTTTCAATAGCTGTAATTTGTTGTAGCAGTCCTTTTTGATAAGTTAACTTGTGCTTCTGAATCTTACAGCTTGTTGAACCTGACAAACATGTATGGTTGTTGAAGACCCTGTATGGTCTCTTGATGTTGTTGCCTCAGGTACTTGTAAATATCTATATTATTGTTTATAGCTATATTAATTGCCATAAGAAAAGAACATGCCAAGAATAGTTTTTGAGATTATCGGTCTCAACGAGTGCTTGAAGGTGCCAGCATGCATAGCGAGGTGAATGAACGTAGATACAGGGAATAGAGTGGCTTTTCAGGACTGCCAATGGAGAAGTGGATTCACAAACTCTTGTTTAAATTAATTGGTCTGAATGTTCTATGCTATGTAGTGTTCAGCACTAGTGGGATCCTTACATGCATTAGTATGTTCTTTGCAGTACAACTTCGTTTTTCTTTGAACTGGCTCAATGCATTTGGTCATATATATGGTTCTCAGATTGTTTTATCTTATGTGTTTGTGCAGCAAAGTGCAGCCTTCAAGATTTTTAGGACTCGTTTGAAAACTGTTCCATCATATATTTTCAACAATGAACAGCTAAAGCATCCATGCAATCAGGTTTCGGAGATAACAGATGCAAGCGGAGACCAAGTTGATGCAAATGTTTATGACAAAATCAACTTCCCTTCCAAGCTCCAACAATTTCAGCAAACTCTGCGTCGTCATAGGTTCTCTCTACAATCCCAGAAGTCAGCATCCTCATCAAAGTCACAGGTATCGACTTCCTTTTATGGTTTTGCATTTCCATTGGTCGCGAGATCATTGGTGGGGCTACTTGTCTTAGGAGTAATTTGACTTCGATGCTCATATGCAGCACACAGGACCTTGAAGAATCAGATCATCCTTTGCCACTCTTCATGGTCCCTTTCCGTATCATAGTGTAACGTTCCAGGACAACTGCAGTTTTGATTTTGATTGCTATTCTTTGCTTTGCTTCAGCCCATTTGGCAGAGAGCTTAGCATCTCAAGTAGAGGACGATTGGAGATCGTAGCATAGCAAAATGATCTCGCAGGTGTACAGCTGCACATTCAATTCATTGTTTTCTGTCAGATTTTGAATAACTCATAGCAAAAAAGCTTTTAGAGAGTTTACATAACCTTGAAATCTTAGTCATGGATCTGCTCATATGATTTTGTAAATTTTCATTCTTTTTCTGTTTCCCCATACTAGCCGGGAGGAAAAGTTGGGTGAGGTTCAATTTGTTCTGTTCAGCCGAGTGAACAATCCCATTAGCAGGCAGGCAAGAAATCTTCAGTTTTGTTCTTTCAATCAATGTTCTCCAATGTGACAATATTTCTACCTAGTTTACGTATACGTTAGAATTGTTGAATGTGAGTCCAGCAGCTCTGGTTTTACCTTGATTACTATTATCTGATTAACATATTTTTAATATATCTTTTGTGAATTATGACATGGTGATCACAGGGTTTGGTTATGCACTTCAACGAGGCTGCGGGGACGAGAAAACGTCTCCATTCTTTACCCACTTCTCGGGTGATTAGTTTTACGGCACTTGGAGCAATCGTTGCCCAAAACTAATTAAAAGATCTACAGTCTCGTTGAGGCAAAAACATATTTGGTTCTATTTTTCTGTAGCATCTTTCTAGAGAAAACGAATGATGGATCATGAATTCAATCTACAGTTTTTTAGATAATTGTATGTCTCTGAAACGTGACGTCGCCATCTCCTTCTTCCCTATATAATGCTCCGTTGCCTCTCCCTCTTCTCCGCACTTATGTTCTGTTTCTAATTCGATCTGTGAAACAGGGGTGTCAGCAACGTCTCATCATCAACTTCTCATCATCAGGAATGAGAAGTCACCAAGTAAATGACCTTAGGTCTGCCTTTGTCGTGTTACATTGTCACTTCTGAGCAGCCTCTCGTTTCAGTCTATCCATCAGAAGGTGCGCTACCGATCTGTAACCCTGCTCGCGAGCTGCTTGTCGGAGACATGCACGGACAAGATGAGTTTAAACAGCAAGATCTTTGGAGCCTGTGATTCCAACAACAAGACGATTCAAATGGATTCACCTTGGTAAATCGCGATGCCGGTTGGTGCCATCTTCCTTTTCTTCAAGCAAAGAGAGCTGTCAAGTTTAGGCATTTTGAGTTTGTAAGGGTTTAACGAGTGTAATACTACAGGATCTGCGGGCTCAGTTATACCATCGGTAGAGTGTGCTTGCCTGTTACATATCCAATACGGGTTGATTCCTTTCTCTTCGATGCAGTGGGGGCACATCCAATCCTTCTTTGCCCTGACTTCCTCCATTTCTGTCAAGGTAATCAATCCATGAACTTGCAGTCCATAAGTAGCCAAATCGAAGCTAAGAAACAGCTGCAGGCAACTGGTCATCGCTCGATGGCATTCAAATCGGCATACCTTCACCATATCTTACTTTGAGACAAGCACGGCATAGGACACCATTGGAAGAATGGCAGACCGAGCACTCCGTTTTACCTGTTAACGCAGAATATTTGAGCATTTAGCTTCATATTCATTGCCATGAAAGAAACAAGGAGCTGAAAAAGAGGCAAAGATCATGTGATTCACCTATGCATGGCTGATTAATGTTTCCATCCCCACACCGTCTGCAATCTTCTTCCCCGCATAATTTCTTCTGCCTGAGTTCGACAGCAGAGAAGTTCCAAGTGTTCTTAGTTCTATAGTGAGGTAATTAGCAATTCTAAACAACAGGAAATAACTCTTGAAATAAGAAGCTTGGATGATTCTTCCAACCAAGAAAAGGCATGATTCTTGAGAGTCGCATTAAGTAGTAGAAGAGACAGGCGAGAAGAAGCACTCGACCTGCAGAAGTGGCAGCAGATCCCCAACAACGGGTCGTAAACGCTTCCCCTGCTTTTGCTCGCACGCCCATCCGAGAACAGCCGCTTACGAACTTGGTGGATGACGTCTCTGTACTCCGAGGACGCTGCCACAGTCGCATTACCACCAAGCGTGTCTGTCGTCCGACCGAAACCGTGATTCGAGAAGCAGAGATTTAGTAGAACGACGAACAAGATTAGTTTAGAACGACGAACATGGAGGAGATGAATCGGCATCGTCATCGTCGTCTTGCTTGCTCTTCAAGCGCTCAGACCGCCGGAGAGGAGTGCCCTCGACGATCCGGATCTTCCGCTTTCTCTTGACGCCGCTGCGATCTCCGGTCGCTGACGAAGAAGAGGAAATCACGGCTCGCAGCTCGCCGGCCCTTCTTAGCAATCCGAGGGACTCCAATCGGGCCTTCGATGGAAAGAAACCCGTCACCGATCCACCTCAAACAGAACCCATATCGATCTTTTTCTTCTCCAACCATCATACCTTGTTCTCTTGTATGCGGGCGTCGCGGAGGCGCTCGTACGCGGATTTCTCGCCCGATGCTCCCATGGCTAGCGATGGGTTCTCCTTCGAGGAACGGGTTGCTTCGGCTGGCCCTCCCCCGAGTCTTGCAGGTGGTGGTGTCGGAGTTCGAATCGGAGACGTGAAGACATCAACTTCCCAACGGCTATATTTGAAGGACGGACTCCCGAGGCACAATCTTTTAGTACAAATATTACTGCGAGAAAGGCGACGGCTGACCGTCTGATCTTTCTTGGACGCGTAAGATGCTATCTAAATCTTAACTAGGGATCGTATGTATCTTAATTAGGAACATGGTCGGACAGGAGCGGAGAATTCTTATTGAGACGGAAAACCAATGTGTGTTTTCATATTCTTTTAATTAATTTTTTTATTTTACAAATATTACTAAAATTAATAAATAATACTAAAAAATAATGAATAATAATAATAATAATATTTATAAAATTTATATGTCATTATAATATTCAAATATAAGTACAACCAAATAACTATAAATATATCTAAATAAATATATAAATTATTTTTTTTTATTTTCATGCTCATGTATCTTACATAAATAATAAAACGTATTTTTAATTTTAATTCCCATATCCATCCTCATTCCTATTTATTCCCTTACTTCTATCTAATTAGGGACATCTTCATTTTTTAACATATCCATGTAGATATTTGTACCTCTTATTAATAATTGATACCTCTAATTTTGAATATAATAATTTTAATTATATTCAAATCCGATCAAAAGATATTAACAAAAAATCTATTTTTTTTTCTTTCACATCCGATCAAAAGATGTTCAAATCCGATTTAAACGGGTCGATGGATATAAAAGTTGGGATCCGCAACCCATTCGTATCCGTTTGGATTTATTCCTTGGTCCGAGTTAAATTGATCCGTCCGGTGAAACCACTTGGCGCGTAGAGCTGGAATACCTGGCCTATTATTGGACAACATATGGGTCCCACGTCAAAGCATTCATTTTAGGCAATAAACAAGACGGTAAGGCCGTCGGCAACGAGTTGAGGGGTAGGAATTTGAGCTAAGGAAAGCAGCCGCAGATCCAACGGGTTCCGCCCCCAAATCGGAAGGGCGCGGCCAAATATGGGGCAAAAAATGATTAGGGGTTCGTCCCTCGCAATCGTCTTTTCCCTTTGGCTTTGATTTCTTGTTTCTCTCTGCGTTCGAGCGGAAGCCCTCTCCCCTTCGGCTCCCAAATCCTCTCTCCGTATGATCCTTCTCCCTCCTCGAGGAATGTCTGGCGTCGGAGCCTGACCATGGACGACATCGACGGCATGCCGCTGGCGAAGCGGCGCAGGCTTCCGATCTCGACGAGTCCTTCCTCTTCGCCTCACGGTCCTTCCACTCCCAAGTACTCTTCTTTCTCCTTTCCCCCTCTATTCTTTTTCTCGATAGTTTTTGGGTATTGTTCTGCTCGTTCATTGCTAACTCGTGTTTTGCCCCGCAGGCGCTCAATTGGTTTTCCCGTAGAGCGAGTGTCAGTGGAAGTTTCAAAGGTAAATTGGTGGGCCTCTTTTCAGTGGTTTTGCGCCTGGAGTTTTTGAATCGTTTTTAATTATTGGCCGTACATTGCGAAAAGGTCTATATATTAATATAAAAATATCAAAGAAATCATGAAAATATATTAAAAAAGGAAAACAATCTACAAAAGAAACCAAGCATTTAGCACTTTGAAATATAAGTATTATGCATTTTGAAACATCGTTTACAGTTTCACATATTTTAACAGAGGACACTGGAGGGAAGTAACAAAAGATATTTCATGCTTGAGAGGTTTAGGATTTTGGAATAGAGTCATGCATGCGAATGGTTTCTGAAACTTCTATAAAATTTTCCTTTTGGACTGAACTTCTTTGTGCTTCATGCTAAAGTTGTATAATCTGGCCGAGTCTCGATGATTGTATTAAATATAGAGGGAATAAATTTTGGAACCAAGGGAATTTCTTTCTTTCACAAACACATTTGTTGTTTCTTATGCTCTTATTCAATTTGCCAACTTGATTATGCTTCGTGAAATATGAAACAGTGTCATGAGTTCTGTTGTGTACTGAGGTTTGATTACTTTAAATATATAGTTTCCTTTTGGAATGTCAACACTTTATTCGTGGGAAAAGTTTCCATTATACATTTAGCTTTTGCATTGATAAATTTAATTTGTGAACTTGTGAACGTTATTGGCTAATTTTGGACCCCTGATAGATGTAACTTCAGCAATATAATATATCTGCTTTATAGAATGTTGATCTCTACCATCATTCATTTGGCTTTGATAGATTTAAATTGTGAACTTGTGAAGGCCATGTCTTGATTAATATGGCCGCCTGATAGGTGCAATTCCGGCTATATAATATGTTGTTTCACCTTTTTCCAGAAATGGCCTGGTTTGCCAAGAGGTGTGAACTTTAATCCCTCTGATGAAGATCTACTCTGGCATTTGCTTGCTAAAGTTGGCAAGGGAAATGCTGACCCTCATCCGTTTATTCATGAGTTTATTACTTGTCTCGATGAATTTGAAGCATTTGGTTATACACACCCTCAGAAACTTCCTGGTAATTAGTTATAGTCTTTCAGCCACACTTTTTTTGTCATGTCTGCACTCTGATGTCTGAACCATTATTTGATAGGCATTAGGAAGGATGGGGGTGATTCTTACTTCTTTCACAAATCTTTTAAGACATGTATTGCTGAAATTAGACAACACCAGAAGATGTGTGACAGTGACAGTGACAGTGGGGACGTCTGTTGGCAAAAGAGTGGTAAGTCCAAGCCTCTGATCGTTGATGGGAAACACCACGGCTATAAGACCATGATGATTCTATATGAGAATGCCAGGTGGGTGATGCACCAATATCACTTGGGTGTGGAAAAGATAGACCAGGAAGAGTTTGTTGTTTCTAAGATATTCTACCAGAGGACTGGCCAGGTCAACAGAAGTGTGGAAGACTTGGCTCTGGGCACAGATGAAACTGTACTTGGAGAAGCAGGGTCACTAATTTTTTCCAAGTTGGATAGTCACCTTGATCTCGTTAACGCAGATGCAACTTCACAGGTTTGCAGCACTTTTAGCTTCTGCATTCTAGCCATAATTGTTGAATCAGAAATTTTAATGGAATATCACATCAGCCTAGTGACAGGAAAAGACAAAGAAAGTACAGAAGTGAGGTTAAAATGTATATCCTTTTTAATTCTTGATATCCTTTGTTGTGTAAGAATTTAATTCTTATTTTTCTCCTATTTATCTTAGGACATTTGTTCCTGCTATTAGTTCATCCAGCTGATTGCAAATGGTGTTTATCTTATTACATTACTCTAGGAGATCATATAGGGCAGGCTTGCATGCATTTTCTAATCACTTGCACTTTGTATTCCTCTTAAGTCGCAAGCTTTTATAGTTGTTGAATGAGTTGTTATGTGCTTATCTTGTTAAACACCTATTATACAGGATATTTTGATGGATGACCATGATCCTAAGCCCCACCTGTCCTTGGAAGGTAGTTATCACTAATATTCTTGAAGGAAGAAAATTATGAGGTCCTGTGAATGCAGCTATTATGAGTTCTGATCCAAACATTTTTTCCTTCCTACTGCTACAGTGTACAATCACAAGTATCCATCTGATGTTTCTGAAATAGCTGATGCTCAAGTACGTAGAGTTAATTCAGATATGATACCTGATTCTGAAGTTGAAGGCCATACTGCTAAGACCGGAGGAAATGATATCATCCAACCATCTAATCTACCAAATTATCTTATGGATCCGAAGACTGAGCACCCTGACTGCAACACAAATCTTCTTATCGAGGGTAAGGACAGTATGCCTATGGCTGTTACTGGAGTCCATCCTAACGATGATGAACTCGATCATGTTTTGTTGCATGTTCGTACTCACATGTTGTTGTCAAGCATGAAATCAGGCACTACTGATTCCAGATGTTCTTCTGATAGTAACAGTTGTGGTTTAAACCACACTATGGAAAATTTGTTGCATGCCAAAGATGGTGGATTTGTTCCTCAAAATGATTCGATGTATGTATGCGATATCATATTACCTCTGCATTTTTTGAATATCAGATACTACCTGATCTTGTTTTTGTTTGAAAATGATTCCAGGAGTAACATGGAAACAACTTACGGAAAAGATATCCTTGGCCCGGTGCAGGTATATATTCTCATACTTTTCTCTTCAAGAAATTTATTGAGCTTCACTGGCATTCGAATGAAACCTACTCAAGCTGTTCAGTTTCTACTGTTTTTTTAGTTAGTAGCAATTTTTACCCCAGGCGTGGACACTTTAATTCTTAATTTTCTCTTACAATGAAGTAATACTCTAGATTTTCTTTTTCCATTATAAGATTCAGAGGAGAGTTAAAAAGAAGCAGCATCTCGAGAGGAACGAGTCTTTTGAGTTATTTGAGGTAATGGTTCATAGTTGTGAAGCATGGACATTTCAAAATGATTGTTATGTATGTGCTAGTGTCTACGCGGGATGCCACAATTATTGGATTGGCAGTTTAAAACATATTGGAGAATTTTGTACCATCTATTATTTAGAATAATGTGGCGTAGGAGTGTAGGTCACTGAAGTCATAACACTAATCTTCAAATATGTATATTAGCAAAACGCTGAGGATGGTTGTTATGCTTTGTATTAGTTTCATAATGGCCATCATAGATTCTTTATATTACATAAAGAATAAAATTGTTGGTTATATATAAAAATATAAATGAATTAGGTACTGTGCTTATGCTGTGTCATGCTCTATATCTATATGATTTGCAATAGTAGTGTATCCGTATTTTGTTGTGCCGATGTCCATGCTTCATAGATCTGCAGATATTTATATTCACTCCTTGTGGCACTTGCCTTAATCACGTGAAATGATCACCCATAATGTTTGCATGAAAACACTAATCCATGATATCATTATGAAGAAAGTTATTCCAAGGATGTATTTACCAACATTCAGGGGTAAGGTGGCACTTCAAGGTGGTGGGGCTGGGGGCATTGTGACCATAATTAGAAACTCATTTTTAAATCTTATATGAATCTGTATGAAATGAATGGTGCAGACTAAAAATGAATCGTAACATATTTGACTCTTGCAACTTGCAACCAATTCTTCGGTTTCACCATAATTCATTATTGTTGTGTATTTGAGTTTGAATCAAGTGTGGAATATTGATCTAAATACTGAGATTGTGGAAATTTATTCAGGTTTTTAGTATGTTTGGCTTTGTTCCAATTGTGTTATACCACTTTATTGAGTTTGCTTTTCTCAGGCTTCAATTATTACCTTGCTTTTTCTTGCAAACTTGAGGCAGTTGTAAGAACTTATAGTACTCATAGGGTGCTGAGGGAGAAGGGGGAAGGAGACAAGAGGGTAGAAAGAAGCAGCGAACATGTTGGGAAGGGAAGGAGATCATGTGGGTGGAGAGAGCGAGTGGGCGGGGAGTGGGGGCCAGGGAAATATTCTGTCAATATAATCTAGCAGTTTGCACCAGAAACTCTATCTGAATTCCCTTGTTTGACTTTTTTTTTGGAACATGGTTCTTTGCCATATTTGTAACTGGTGCTTTGGGTTCAATAAAAAATTACATGTATTTATTTGTAAATTTTCTCACATGTTTATGTACTCTAATTACTATTTAAGAAATATATTCTGGCAGATATTTTAATTGTTTTTATTAGGAGATTAATATATTTTTTCATGTAATTTTTTCATCTTTGGCAGTTGAAGCTTTGGTTTTGTTTGTTTTTCCTGTTCAGGGTATTTCTTCGTGTCCTTTAGTGAACAACACTACTGACTGTGACCCTGGCAGAGAACAATACAATATGCATTCACCCAATAAAGAAAGCAGTTGTATGGATAGCCATCTTCCTGAAAGTGGTAATTTATACGTGGCAAACAATATAATGGCCGAGCCTTCTGGAAGTTCTACTGCAGAAAGTTATTCCATGGTTCATCAGTGTTCAAATTTGCCTTGCTGCCAAAACAATATTTTGTTAGAAGCTAGCTTCTCCGAAGAGAATCTTGGCAACGATGGTGTATCCTCGTATCATACACCTCAGACACCTGTTTTAGGAGAAGGAATTGTAAATACTGATTGCAGACCCTCTCGATCAGGTTTATCTGGCCAGCTGATTTCACTAAAAACTGAAACCATGGAAGAAGTCCATACTGATCATGTCTCTGAAACTAATAGAGGACTAGAATTTGGTGCTCATGGATTAGGGACATTGGAAAAGCATGTCACGGGTATTTCTGGTACTACAGCTCTATGCTCATCGGAAGTCAGAATGTGTCCTGAGGTCAATTTGTTAAAAACAAACAAATTTCAGACAGACCAGATGATATGCAACTGCTCAAACGATGCAAATACCTTGGATCCTCAACTGTTAACTCTAGGTCAAAGCCTGGAAGACCAGAATAATGGCAATGATGTGCTCGATTCAGTACTGCCTAGCATCATTAGTGAAGTGAAAGTTGAACCTTTGGAAGAAATTTGCACCCACAATGGTTCGGGAACAACTGCTCAAAAACCTGTAAGCTCTTCACTTGAAGCAACTTCTAGAAAACCTACGAGGTCTTGCCAAAGTGGTTATTCTGCAAAGACCAAAAAACATACTGAATACTCACTGACAGACAAGCATTGTAAAGATCTGCATTCATCTGACTGCTGTAATTCACAAAGAAAGACCACAATAAATTCTTTATGTTCAGAACAACCATCCCTTAAGAAGGATTTACACCTAAATTCAAATTCTTCGAAGTTTTTTAATAGTGCCTGTTCACGAAAAGGCAGTAACAGACAAGAAAATGTTTTCTTACACAAAAGAAGTTTGATCGAGCAAGTCGGAAATAGGTGCTCCCATCATGCATCTATAACTGAAAATGTACATGTGAATAATGCTGGTAGGCTATCTATCTAAGTCAAGTTTTGTCAATAGATTTTGTGAAGGCTTTCAAATTTTGTGCAGTGATTTAGTTATCCTGTCTTAGAAATTCCTACTTTCCAGAGGCTCATATTTCAAGAACAGAGGTCAAGAAGGAATATGCTGATGATTTCTCCAAGGACATGCAAGCTGATGTGATTTCTCCAAAACCTGAGATGCTGGCTTGCGGAGTAGTTTCTTACTTGAAGTACAACAACAACAACATGAACAACTCACAACAGTTTCTGCCACAGAATAAAAAATGTGAACCAGTCAATACTCCAAATGCTCAAGTTAACAATTTTTCTCTTCGTAGGAAAAGGAAGAAGACTGCAACGTGAGTGATGATCCTTATCATATTTCTCTTACGTGCAAATTTGATGAACATTTTTGTTAAGTGCGGTCTATAAAAACAAAATTATGCAGGGATTCAGTAGAAAGAGCACTCGAGGAAGATGCTCCAGGGCTTCTGCAGGTAATTTTGAAAATGAATACATTTTAAAAATTGTCATATGAACATTTTTAATATGAGATAATGGTTTTTGGATAGGTTTTATTGGACAAAGGAATAACAATCGATGAGATCAAGCTTTATGGAGCTGCTGAAGATGATGAAGCACTGGAGATCTCTTCGTCAGATGACAACTTTGAAGAGCTTGAAACTGTAATTACTAAGGTTAGCATAAAATCTTTCAAGGACTATATCTGATGCATGGCTCAATTTCTGTTAGCATATACCATATTATCTTTCTGCAATTATTCGTGAAATAAACCACCAAAATATACATATATGGATACTCTTGTGGGGCATGGTTGTATAGCATCACATTGTCAGGCTTTCTGAAAATAAGTGGATCATTTACCTCATATAACCTCCTCCTAACTTCCTCTTTATTTCGCTTAACTGATATTACAAAGTCTTCATTCCACATGTTAATAAAGCACATTAGAACTATATTTTATGAAGGCAAATGGAATTTTTTCTTGGTTTTCCCTTTGAACTTCCATATGTTCTATGTGAATGATTTACTCATTTATTGAGCCTTTTCTATTTCAGATATTTTCTTCACAAGCTTCTCTATTCAAGTTTTCAGTGGCGCGCCACATGAAGGGATCAAAGGCTGTTTATTGTTTATCTTGCTTAATTTCTTTGATCGAACAGGTTTGGAGTTTCTTTATTATTTGGTTTATCATTTCCCATCGTAGTTTTTACTTATAATGGTTTTCTGGTTTTTATTTACGTAGTTATCTCTGACTATGTTTTACATCTCAGACTCGATATCTTCAGTTTCGTAATAGTCCAGTGGAATGGGGATGGTGTAGGGATCTGCAATCATTTATTTTTGTTTTTCAAATGCATAATAGGTGAATGTTCTTGCTTGGATGTTGTCTTTGTAAATGCTCAGATTTGATGGCCACTCAATGGAAATTCAGTATTACCTTGACGTTACTTCTGATACAGAATAGTTCTGGAGCGCCCAGAATATGGTTATGCCACATATTTCTTTGAGCTTGTGGATTCTTTGCCAGTTGACTGGCAGATCAAGAGGTTGGTGACGGCAATGAAGCTCACCAGCTGTAGCAGGACCACTCTCATTGAGAACAAACCTTTATTGGTAAGACCAACCCATTCTCTCCTCTTTAACATGCCCAGTGTTCTTTAGTAGCTACTTGAGGTGCTGAACTTACATGATCCAGACCTATATAGTGTATCAATCTAATTGCTGCTTAATATGTTCTAACTTTTGCTTTATTTTTTTTCTTTTTCTTGGAAGAAAAAATTGAATTATTTTACTCTGCTATGCTGCCCGGTCGGTCTGATTTTATTGTAATCAGAAACCTGACAAGGATTCTGCACACGAGTGAGTTATTAACATGAGCCAACCAGAATTACACATGGTAGCTTCTTTTTTGCTCGCATCTGTTTCAAGATTTACAACTTTTGTTTTCGACTGCCTGTTTCTCTAACATCTGAGATTTCAGGTAGTCTTACAAGTTAATGAAAAGCCAGATACCCCGATAGTGTGTGTCGATGAAGAAATGACTCGTGTCCTTCAAACCTTTGCACCTAATTTCTGTTCTGGTGTTTAGGTTGGAGAGGACTTGACCAAGGGAGAGGCGCGTGTGCTGGAGGAGTATGGCTGGACTCCTAATTGCGGGCTGGGGACAATGCTGAACTACTGCGACAGGGTTGTGCATGACAAAAAATACGAAAGGTTCAGCAATGAATGGAGGGCCAAGATCGGGAGACTACTAATGGAGGGTCATGATTCTGGACGAACCATACTCGTCAAACTCCCGAAAAGGGTTGTTAAATACAAAGGAGGCGAGAATTTTAAAATCAAGTTGGAGAATTGATCCAAATAAATGCTAGCTTTAGCTGTGTATAGAGTTGCGGCAGTGCCTTAGATGTTACACTGGTATGTAATGGCCAATGTTGTATGTCATTGCTTCAGCCTCGTATCTTCTTCCATTGTTGGCATGAATTAACCTCTTATTCTGCACGAGATCGAGCATTGGTGTATTTTTATTTTCACAATTGTGCAGCTTGAACTTGGAATTAACGCACTGTCTTTTGCTACGTGTACATGAACATGGTCACATTGTTTGAACAGAATCGGTTTTCCTGTTTGGATTTATCTAATTGAATCCGTTAATTTATTTATAATTTTAAGTAATTTTAAAATTGTATATTTTTTAAATGAACTTGTTTGATTCTATGAATTGATTTGGTTTAATCAATCAAAATTTTGATCCAATTAGATCGATATGTTAAGATTTATAAAGTTAGGTTTATATTATTTGTAAAATTTAGTTCTAATATTTTTTAAATGAAAATCAACCGATTAATCGAATAAAAAAAGAATACTATCGAATTAAAATCAATTCATATAAACATCAACCTATTTAGACCCACCGAACTAATTTTCAATCAATTTGATTTTTTTTCATTTGATTTAAACATCCCTAATTACAAATTAGCTTGTAAGTTTATATTTCCATCTAATAGGTCTATTGTGATATGAAAATTTCCTTGATTGGAACAACTTCTTGATATCTCTCGACTAACCAGTTTGAATGCCTATGTAGATTTAGCCTGACAGTATTATTATATCTGCATAAGCTGTGTGTGCATTTGGGCCATCAAGAAGTGTTGGAGGATTGATGATACAGCCACAACACAGTATTCTCTTTCAGATGATAGTTGATGTATATGATTCTTACTACAAAGCCAAGAAGTGTCTTTGTCCTAAAAGAATATATCGAAAAAGAATCATCAGGACTCCATAGCAAAGACTCCACCCAAGAGATATCAAAATTTAGATGAAGTACATCAAAATAAAATCTTAAGCTTTGTGAACATGCTTTCCTATGTGTTAATTGAAAACTTGTGTCTGCATTGCGGACACTCGTAAAAGACCGTCTGCCCTTCATCGGCTGATCGTAACTGCAAATTATATGATAAGTGGTTAAAAGTTTAAACATATTTGGAAATGATCACAGAAATATGATCAATGAGATGATAATTTACCTGTTTGGTATAATATTCAAGTTGAGGATGACGGCACTGCGGGCATTCTTCATTAACCTATTACATAAAAAGTGAATCATGGGCTATGTGTGATTCAAATGAAGAAAACAAGCAGAAAGGGAAGGATCAATGCACATGGCTCCCTCAAATACAGGCTTTGGATATATTATATGTGACATTACCCCTATTAGTAAGGGGTTATTTCCATTACTCGAACCATGATCCCCGAAGTTGCAAAGGAACAAACCTTAATCATTTAAGAAACATATTGATCTTAAAAGATGACAAAGATACTTACAACTGCTCTTTGGACTGCTTCGTCGTCAACCGGAGCACTCTCGAGGATTACAAAAGGTTCAATCTTCAGTTCCCTTCTAATATCCTGAAAACAGAAGACAAAATTTGCTTGTTGGAGTTACATAGGGAAATGGAGTAAAATCTTAACACGAGGTTAATAAGCATAATCTGTTTTTAGATACACCATTCATAAATCATCGGCGGATAATACTAAACCATCCAAGATTCGATGTACAAGGTTCCTTCCTAAAGACGACTCTTAAGAGTAAGATAAATATCAGTTACATATCATGACAAAGTAACTATTAACTATGTGCAGCTTATTTATAATTAAAAAATTACTTGCAATGAATAATGCTTGAAAAATTTAGAAAAATGTGGCAAAACTTATAATGATCGGAGATAAAATTATCATTATAGATGTCTATTATCCTCATTTGATGGCAGACATAAGCAGCATCAACCATTTGTAGAATATGCATCAAGTATCCTGAGCATCCAAAAGTAACTGTTTCTTTAATTGTTGCTTTAATTCTAATAGTAAGATAAAATAACCAAACAATCATCCAGGGCTCTAAAGTGTCCTGAGTTGGAGGATGTATGCTTTCATATATGAAGATAAACAACAATCTTGGTTAATATTGCCCCATCCTATTAGTTAATTGAACGGATTAAATCTTTCAGAAATATCACATCACAAACTTTGTTACAACAAATTATTTATCAAGAAAACAAGACTCCACCTCATGACCACCGAGTGCGTGTAAACTAAAGGTGTGATAAGAGAAGCATGATTTAAATGCTGGTCATCTAATATGAAAATACAGCAAATTTTTTTTCCTTTTAAATTAGAACAAGGCACGATGAGACAAAATTTGAAATATCTCATGTATTATGGCTTCTTTCTTCGTCATTTTTTCTACTCTATTTGTTCAGTCTCTTCTTATGCACTTAAGTTCAAAGTTAGCATCTTTCAAAACAGCTTTGACTTTGTAGATGAACAAATCTGTTCTTCATCATGTTCCATAAATGTTATTCTACTAAATTTAGTTTTACCAACATATCAAGCTTAAAAAAAGAAAAGAAAAATAAGAAAGCTAAGTACATACCACAACTAACTTAAAATCATAGGATTACAAACCTCATCTCAAAAACCAGTAAAATTGCAAAGAAGAATACAATTTCAGATGGGTGTGCTTTGAATACATATCTAAGATACATGTCTATCAAGATTAATATTCCATAACAAATGGAAGAATAGGAAAACAATTATGCTCTCGATTGGTAAAAGAGTTCCCAGGTTGATTTGGAAGAACTGCAGTTTGTGGGTCATACCTCAGCTGTTACTGTGTACCGTGTTTCTCTCCCTTCAATATCTGAGAAACAGTTTTAAGATTGTAATATTAGTGCTGCCATCTTTATTAGTTCCACAATGCTATGCAAGAGTTTAAATAGACCATAAAACAGAAGAATGAATAAAGAAAAACTATGATGTCTCCTGAACATACTTGTGAGAATCAAGTGAATATACAAAACACTTATGCAGACAGAATTATGCAACGTTCAAAGAAGACCATTTTAGATGTTCAAATTATAACAAACCGTGCAATATAAAAGGAAAATTGAACTATGCAGATTAAGAAAATGATGTAAAAGATAAAAGTGAAAAAATTATTTAAGATGGTATGTGCATATTCCAAGAATAACCATGGATTTCATAGCTCATAGTTGATGTAATACCACTGGGCATCACAGTCTCTCCCCTGCGCAAACTCCTTATATCCTCTTCAAGACCCACTGAACCCTAGAATCTCGCACCAGTAGATAATATAAAGGATCATGGCAAGCTCCGGGAACATCCTACAAGTAGGCCTTCTCTACTAAACCCACTAATCATAGTCATGGCCCTAGTTGTCTTCGAAACGCTAACTGTGGCGAGTCATTACAGCTTTTTGCACCCTAAAGGGGTGCTAGAAAAGCATTCTTTACGACGGACAACGTCTTGCAGAAAAGCTCAGAACGGAACCCGCATGCAATGCATGACTATTGCGAACAACATACATCTAGTTTGATGGTTATAGATTCCAACAATATCTGGAAACCCTAAAGGTCTTTTTGCACAATCTATCAAACTGATTGGTAATTTCGTGTTGTGCGAGGAAGCAAACGAATTTGCATGTTGACCAGGGTTAACGGAGGGGCAACAAGTTGTCTGCAAACCACCTACAAGTGCACCAATTACATGCTCCAGATGCAGGTGTGCATGCAAGACCGCCCCAATCTTGCAATCAGACAAAGGGAACGAGGAGAGAGAGAGAGAGAGAGGTTACCCCCGGCGGCGCGTTTGAAGCCACAGAGAGGGCATCTGGCGAAGTGGAGGGAATCGAAGGAGAGGAGGGTTCCGCACATGCTGCAGAACAGGAAGTCGCGGGCGTGGCAGAACGACATCTTCTTCTTTCCTCTGTTGCAGCGGCAAGGAGAAGGTGGTGAATGTCACCGGGAGGTGCCGCTCCCAGGACTCCACCGACCGCGGTGGCTTCACGGAAGTGGCGGCGGCGACGAAGAGGGGTTGCCGATAGGGTATGCGCAGAGGTGGTGGGAGGCTTTTTGGTCTCTCGCTCGTGGAAGCCCAAAATACATGTACAATACCTCTTTCGTATCAAAGATCGTATCCGTACTCTCCAGGAACCGACCACCGTATTTACGAGTTCGCCACTGCTAATTATGTATGTTAATTGATTCAAGTCATTGTGGACTTCGTTTAGATAAATATTACTTAGACACGATGAGAAAGCTTTCTTGAGATTAATGGGTGGAAACGGCTCTCTTGATTAGGGCTGGTAGAGCCAGACGACGAGGAAGCGGCGGAGGTCGTCGCGGCCGCCGCTGCCGGGGCACGTTCTGATCGGGCTCGGCTATACTATGGGCTCATCAAATGGAGGCCATCCTTCGCCGCTACCGTGGACTGGGCTTCATTCGGATCCAAAGGGAGCCTGGCCCATTTCCAGTCCTCGCATCTTGTTGGTCATGCGATCGCCCTTCTCTTCTGCGCCGGCGCGGCGCCCGCAACGAATCTTGCAGAGAGTAAGAAGGATCCTCGCCTTTGTCACCAAACCCTTGGTTTCCAGGGAGGCGACATGGAAGGCGGCGCCGCGGGAGGGCAGCGAGACCGGGAAACCCTGGACGCGGTGCGGTCGGTGGTGTTTAAGCCCTCCGTATCCTTGGAGGAGAAGCGGTTCCCGAGGGTCCAGGGGTACGACTTCAACCGGGGTTGTGACCTCATCGGCCTCCTCGATTCCATGTCCACTACCGGGTTCCAAGCTTCCAACCTCGGCGACGCCATCGATGTCATCAATCAGATGGTGAGCCCACGCCCGTAGGCCCCCCTCTGGATTCCTGTAGTTTCTGCTGACGATCGCCGCAAGTATCGGTTCTTGGAGATAATTTTGTTCTTTCTTCCCGTTCGCTTATCGTTTGGGACGGAATGAAGATTGACTGGAGGCTCTCCCATGATGCGCCCACGGAAGATTGCAGCGAGGAAGAGCGCAATCTGGCCTACAGGCAATCGGTCACGTGCAAGATCTTTCTGGGCTTCACTTCGAACCTTGTATCTTCTGGCATCAGGGAGATAATTCGGTTTCTTGTGCAGCACCGAATGGTGAGTGCATGTCATTGGCACTATTCTTCTTTATTCTTGAAGGTTTAGGTTCAGGTTCTTGGGAAGTTCAACGCACAATACATCAAGAACACCAAAGAATATAGAACCATTCCATTCAATATTTAGTTACCATTTGATAGGGCATATTTCAGCACCACCTACGTGGCAGCGACCAGCAGCCACCTCAAGCCGACATGGTGCATCCGTGCCATTGTGGCACCTCGAGCTTGTGCACGACGAGAACCCACACCCGGGGGATCGATGGCCATTAACGAACTCCATACGATCGACCCTCGACAATAGGTATAAAAATGGATCCCTTGGTCAATGCCAAGGGGAAACGAAAACACACTCGAATTGACCGCAACTCCACCATACTAACTTAAGCTTATGAGGGGGCACGAAAACACACTCGAATTGACCCCAACTCCACCATACTAACTTAAGCTTCAGAGAGGTCGAGTCAGGATTTTCCTTCCCGACCCTAGCCTGTCTGCTGCAACCCAGCAAGGAAAGAAAAACAACTCCCAGTGCAACCTCAGATCAGCTCGACGAACAGCGCCCTGGCCCCTCCTGACGCCAGCCCTCTCCAGCCCGAGAGCCACGTGGATGACCTTGCACGTTTGGATCGGACCGAGCCATGCTGACGACTCAGTCATGACATAAAGTTGTACAAACACCATTAAAGCAAGACTGAATCTGTGATTGTTTTTCTTAGTATGTCAAGAACCCTCGTGAATCCTATATTGATGCCAACAAATTCGACATGTTTGGCAGGATCTTTAAGATTTATGCATTTTTCATGGATTCAAGACTGTTCTTTCTCTAAATCCAAAATATTGAACTTTGAACCATCTGAAGTCAGTTTACATCTAAACAAATGGACCATATTTTTCTTGTTATTTGCATTCTACCTTTATGCAGTCCACTCTTATTTGTTGATTCTTTTCTAATCTTTTCTCAAAAGAAATGGAATAAGGGACTAAATTTACAAGACAACATGAAACTGACTTTATCATATCTCAGTTAAATTTCTGAAGCACTAGATAGTTTGTATTTCTTTACTCTAATGTTTTGCTGCTTCTTTAGTAAAGGTTGTAATATATGGTAGGGGCTTTCTTTATGCCCATTTATCAATGTTCATTTGCTTTAATAGCTTTGTGGCACGTCTAGGTTGAAGTTTTAGTCACAACTGCTGGCGGCATTGAAGAAGATTTAATCAAATGCCTTGCTCCTACATATAAGGGTGACTTTTCTTTGCCTGGATCGTATCTGCGTTCAAAAGGATTGAATCGGATAGGAAACCTTCTGGTCCCTAATGACAATTACTGCAAATTCGAGGACTGGATCATGCCAATTCTGGACCAGATGTTACTTGAACAGACTACAGAGGTAGGACTGATCATCTTTAAGTTTTTGCTACTCTATGCTCCTCAATTGTCTTTTAATTAGCAGACGAAACCTTGGCATGTCAGTTCCTGGCAAGTGATTCATATTCTTATTGTACTGATCATTCTCTAGCGCTTTCATGCAAGTTTTTGTAGGCATGATTACTTGTTGGCCGTCCAACTTCTGTAGTTATTAATTTCATTGTCATATCATGCAGGTCCTGATAAAATTGACACAAGGTTTGACAACGGTCATGTTTTTCCAACAATTGCCACCATATGAGACATTAATGAATGCTTTATTTTATGATAGAGTATTCTTTTTTGTTAACCTTCTTCGTGTGTGTGCATATCTGTGCTTTGTGCTTTCCCAGACTCACAAATGGGGCCCTAGTGCATCAGGCTATCTTTGGCAATTATAACAGCTCTGAGCTACCTCTTGTACATGAATGCATAGTAGTTTCATCATCTTATCTAATTCACAATAACCTTGATATGGCTATGACATAAAGTAGCTGTTGTTGTGACTTGTGAGACTGTAGTTAGAAACTGTTATATGCCATTTCAATAAGTAATGCTGTTTTACTAGGAGGCAATTGTTTTTTTATTATTTTTATCTTTGCCTGTTTAAATAAGTTATATTCTTTTATGGCTTAAAATTTGCTTAGTGTATTAAATTGCATGGAGGGAATGATGATGATCTAGTAAGGCCAAGCTTAGATATTAAAAGATATTTTGGTATTTTGAGGATTCTGTTTGAAGAATGATGGCCAGCTTTTCTTTAGGCGGGGTTTCACCTGCTTGGGATGCTGCTGCTTGGATATGTTGCTCGGCATATATTTGTGTGGCACTTAATTAAAATACTGGTAATTGCAGACTAATTAATGGAACTAAAACTTATGTTTGATTTTCTGCTTATAATTTTATGTAGTTTCCTTTATTATGAACAATTCCCCTTTTAGGGTTGGATCTTTTTATTTATCAACTGCTATTGATTATATTATCACAGTTAATGATCTGCAAAACCTGTACATATCCTAGACTATTTTGTGAAAAATTTAACATATTTGTAAATTTACATTTGTTTTCTTCTACCAGTTTTAGTGTCATTTAGAACACAATACTAGATTGCAATTTTGTAGCTCTTTCACATGCTTGTTTATTCAGGTATTATCACAAATAGAAGTTTGTAGCACATATTGTTTTCTCACAGAATGTGATATTTGCTTGTGCTCACAGAATGTAGTTTGGACTCCATCAAAAGTGATTGCGCGCCTTGGAAAAGAAATAAATGATGAAAGTTCATACCTGTACTGGGCATACAAGGTACTAGCAGTTATTTTCATCTTTTTGCTGCCTTGATTGTTTTAAATTACTACAGGTTCAAACTTATTAACATGTGGCTATTGTGTCTAAAGATTGCTTACCTCTATAGCTGTGGCCCTTAGTTTTTAATGACGTATATATTTGTATGTATAATATGTATTTTTTAGATGTCACTACATTGAGAAACAGATGGTGATTAATGAAATTAAGATGATGATTGATCTTCTTTCATCTTAAGCTCGTGTTTTCTTTTCTACATGCTCAGATCTTTATGGTTTCTTCCTTGAAGAATTAAGTCAGGGATGAAAGTCAATTCATTGTTATTGATTATAATGGTTTCATAATATATGTCAAACTTTGTTGTATACATTATTATATACTAGATATTTTCATTGTTGTCGTATCTTGTGCCTTATCATATCCTTTTGTAACATGTTGTTTAATTATCCATGTTGTGTCAGCACTCCATGTCATACCAATGATTACAAGTGTTCTTTCGGGTAATTCAGTATAACTTTAATTGCAACAGTCAGAGCACTTGACAACTCTGTACCATCAAACAGTGTTTTGCTTCTTTTTCATGTAGCTCTAGGCTTTGCAATTATAAAAGATGAATCTATAGGAAAGCAGCCAGATGTTTTTTCTCGCTAATTTGAGATAGTCCAGCCTGTGTATAGAAAATAATGATACTTCCTTATTTATTCTATCCAATGGTTTATATTTCATGGTTTTGTATCAGTATGTTACTCTCTATTTATTACTAAACCTTGTTGCAATTTGATCAGAACAATGTTTCTGTCTATTGCCCGGCATTGACTGATGGATCATTGGGGGATATGTTGTACTGCCATTCAGTGCGGAATCCTGGTTTACTTATTGATATTGTGCAAGGTACAGCCTTTTTTGTTACTCAATTGCTTTTGCCTATTTGCATCCTGCTTATGTTGACATTTCATCATCCAGACATACGAGCAATGAATGGAGAAGCTATACATGTGGGTCTGAGAAAGACTGGGGTCATAATTCTTGGTGGGGGGCTCCCAAAGCACCATATATGTAATGCCAACATGTTTCGGAATGGTGCAGATTATGCTGTTTATGTCAACACTGCACAGGAATTTGATGGAAGTGATTCTGGAGCACAGCCTGATGAGGCGATTTCATGGGGAAAGATAAAGGGTTCTGCGAAGACTATTAAAGTATGTGTGCTGATCTTTCTTGTCCAATCATTTTTCTCCTCTTCTTTTCCCTTTCAATATCATATACCTATTAATAATTACATGCCCTTTCTAGGTCAGACATGATAAGCCTCTTTCACTAATAGTAGTAAGATTAGAAATATAGGTTTTCCTAAAAATATGTTGCTTTTTAATTGATAAATTACATAATATTTTAGGACATCATGAATTTTGTGTGATGAGGGTGGGCCTCGGTAGTTAGTAGTTGCTTCTTTGTGACTTGGGAGATCAGGGTTCGAGTTACGAAAATAATCTCTTTAAATATATAAATATAAGATTGCATACATTGACTTGGGAGATCAGGGTTCGAGTTACGAGAATCTTGTGCGTTGGGTACACCCTTTTTAGAAGTTTTTTGTAATCATTAATACCTTTTAATTAAGAGGAAAGTTCTACAAGATCGTTATTAGACTAGTGATATTTTATGGATTTGAGCATTGGACAATTAAGAAATATTGAGGATGTGAACTAATATGCCATACTATATGCTTCACTTTTTAGAGCAGTTTACTCTATGTCAGAAAGAATTGATTTGTATGGGGTTTGGGGTCGATGATCCATCGACTTCATACCATCTTTCGCATGAAAGTTTTGGTGGAGGAGAAAACTATTGCTGGAAGGCCAAGTGTAAAAACCTAAAGGAAAACAACATTTATTGTTTGTAAAGTTAAAAGTGTTAATTACAAGACTTGAAACAATGGAATAAAAGTGTGATAGAAGACTTTGGTCTCTTCCTTTCTCATTGCTGGAACATCCTCCTGAGGTTTGAATAGTAGACAACAGGCTTTGGGGGCTTCTCAAAGCAGCTGGATGGAGCTTGATGCAGAGCTTCAACTATTGGAACTTGAGGAAGAAGGTTGCGGTTGGAAGGATTGGTTGCACTTCGTAGAATTCTTCCCTTCTCTTCTCCTCTCTTCTCTTTTGAGGCTGGAACAACTAGGGCCGGTTGGACACATGCTGGAGGATTCTTGGTTTCCCTTGGGCTCCCTTAGGTAGGTCTCTCCTCCTTTTATAGCTGAGGAAGGGGTGTAGTCCTAGCTAGGTTAGAACTTAGAGAGTCCTAATGCCTTAGGTCTTGGAGAGTCCTAATGCCCTTTAGGACTTGTTTTAGGGCTGGCACATGAGAGTCCTACTCCTATTAGGAGTTGGCACCACCCTCTCCTTGTGACTACCCCTATTTGGGCGAGGGCTATCCTAATCCTAGTCTTAGTAGGACTCGAATTGAGGCAAGTGGGCTGCTATGATATGATTTCATGGCTTCAAGAGGCCCTTCAATAGAGGTTGGCCAATTTTGTCTTGTGCTGTTGAGATCGTCCCTAATCAAGAATAAGCTCTTTGCTCTCTTTTTCTTTGATTTCATGGCTTCAAGAGGCCCTTCAATAGTTATCTAGATCTTCCACAGTTGCACGCATCATCACCAATTTCCTTATAGTGAAATGAGAAATTGTAGAAGGATGACTCCCAATCCTTCTTGTACTATGGATTTACGGAACCATCCTTCGATTAACTAGGAAACAACCATCTTTGACCAACATTTTTCTTTTCCACAGGATGCAACTTCGTTATCTAGATTGTTGGGATGCAGTATTGATGTGTAATTATAAATTTGGGCTTATGTATAGAGACTCTATATGAAAGTTAGACTAAATTTAATGACAAACATATGAAGTGCAATTTAAATAACAAAAATAGAATATTTGAAGATATAATAAAAATAGATGGATAAAGCATTTGTACTAGCAAGTCTTTGGAGCTGTTATTCGATAGGAAATGAAGATTGAAAAGACACATAAAACAAGATGATTGGTTAAATCAGAGAGGAGAATTTAGTCTATTATGTGGTAATCATGTGATTCTTGGATGGAAAGGGCAACTTTAAGGCATTGCTAGTCTTCGTCTACCATATGAATTTGATAGGATTCACACACACACACACACACACATATATATATATATATATATA